TTGGATGTGCATAGGGATTTGATTCTTAGAAGATCCTATTCATCTACTTTATCTTCTCCTGGTTGTAGGTCATACCTTTTCAATATATATGCTGAAACCAATCATTTTGGAGGCTGCATTTTATGAGGAGGAAGGTGGCTTCAGGATTGGAGAAAGACATATTAACGGCCTAAGTTATGCAGATGACATAACCATGTTTGCCAAAACTGAGGACCTTAAGCATTTGCTACAGAAGGTCAAAGACTGCAGTCTTCAACATAGATTGACACTCAAAGAAGACAAAGATTCTCACCACTGGGCTAACTGGTAGCACCATGATAGATAGAGAAAAGACTGAGATTGTCAACAATTTCTGCTTCCTTGGCTCCACAACAACACTCTTGGCACCAATAGTAAAGAAATTAAAAGACAAATTATACTGAGGAAATCTGCTGTCAGAGACCTCTTAAAAGAGCAGAAGAAGCAACAGTGTCAATCTGGAGACTAAGGTGCACCTGATACAGGCCATGGTCTTAACAATTACTTACCATGCATCTGAGAAGAGACACGGACTGTCCCTGTCTGTTCGCCTGCAACTTAACAGCGACACCCTGATGGGGATAAGCACGACGGAGATACACAACTCCAGGAGAGCATCAGAGAGTCAATCCAGCTCAATTTTATTGGGATCTACAGTTCACTTATATACACAGGAAGACCAGGTAGCGTGGTCCTACAGACGTGGGACATGTGGATTGGTCAGGAGAACCTCAGCCTCGTGCAGACCACTCCCAGCTCAACGAATGTGGCAGCCGTCTTACCAGGTGGCGAGCTTTCTCAAGCCAGTACAGTCAAACACAAGGGAACTTTCTCTACCCTGAATTAAAGGCCGTTGAGAGGCTTGCACTTATCTGGAGCTTAGGCGATCTGTCCTGGCCAGAGGACCTCCCTTCCTCCCCAACATTCCGCAACTATGGACAATGACTAGGGATGGCAGAAAAACAATTGTTGTCTTTGAGTTGTGGTACTGGAGAAGAGTATTAAATATACCTTGGACCCCCAAAAGAACAACAGGTTTGACCATGAGAGAGTGAAACCAGACTGTTCCTTAGAGGCAAGGATTTTAAAGCCCTGTCTGACATATTTTGGGCATATGGCCAGGAAGGACCAGTCCCAGAAGAAGGACATCATGCCTGAATGGGTGGAGAGACAATGCAGGAGATCTGCCTGGATGAGATGTATTGACATAGTAACTGGGGCAATGGAGGTAGGTGTGTCAGAGACAGCAAGACTAGCTCAGGATAAGGCAGAGTTCAAAGCTATTGTACAATGAGTCACTATGAATCTCAACCAGCATTATGGTACATAACAACAACAAGAATAATTCCAGAATTATGCATCCCAAATAATTCAAAGCCCTTATTAGTGAGAATAACATTTCAATTTCATAAGTAAGTATTGTACATATGTCTATGCCAGCTCATGGGAACTTTTAAGGAACAAAAATAATTTATGCAGTATATTGTAAATGAGGAATCCCTGCATAGTGTAAATAGCTAAGGATTTGAGCTATTAATCTAAAGGCTGGATGTTTGCGTCTGCCCAGATGTGTCACAGAGGAATGACTTCACAACATAGTTTTGAAAGACCAGCCACTGAAAAGCCTACAGAGCACAATTCTGCTTCTGACACACACATGAAGTTCCCATGTGTCAGAGTTTAATTCATGGCAACTGGTTTATTATAGGTGAATTTGTTATCATGGGAGCATTCAATTGAAGCAAGTAAACCTTGAACGTGAAGAGGATAAAATTCTATTTCCTCTCCTGCAATTTAGTCTCTGAAAATCCACTAGAGGGTCAGCTATGAGTTGGTTCTGATTGCAAGACAATGAGAAAGAGAGAGATCAAGTGAGCCAAGCTAAAAGGAAATGACCCCTACCTCAGGGGTAAGCACAATATTAAGAACAGCCTAATAGCACTGAAAACTGCCTCAGGCTCTTGAAAGCCATGCTTAATAAGCATGCTAAAAACAAACTCAAAATTCCTTCAGTTCCTCCTTGTTTTGCATTCATTCCCAGATTTTTTTTCCCTTATAAGCAATCAACAGCTCTTTCTTTTCATTGTTTTGATAATACTTCTTTAAGTACAGCTTTTCTCTCAGTTTAGCTTGATACATAGAATTTATTCTATTTACTGAAATAATAAAATCCAAAAAGTTCAACAGCAAGTTGATCTAAGGTTTATACTCCCTACTGGTGGCGCACTTGTTTTTGCATAGATGACAAAACTTGTTTGTATTTATTTTATGAATCCTCAGGCTGTTTCCTTTAACATCCAGTTAGGTAGCTAGATAATTAACTTACCAGGGCTCATGCCACATCCATCATCCAGGAAGCATAACATGAATCCACCCTGCAGTTTTTCATTATCCACTGTAAGAGAAAGTAGTTATTACTAATAAATATTGGGCTTAATTTGTTCGTCAGAAAGTCATGCTGCTCATATAATTATGCTTCCTCCTCTATTGCAGTCATGTAGTGACAGAGCTGTGGCACAGTGATGGTGCTCGTAATGGAGTCTTGGCTACAACTTTACAAGAAATCACAGTGGGGAACAAGCCAAAAAAAGGCTTTAACATAAAACATCGACACAGTAATGAGTTATTTATATAGCATAAAATGCCCTGCTCTGGAGCTGGACTTGTTCTTTAAACTTCAGACACTTCCTTTATGATGTTGATGTTGGTATGTGGGGTTAAGTCACTAGCGACTCATAGTGACCCTATGTACACCAGCCCTAAAGCCTGCTCTATCCTGAGCTAACCTTATTGTCTCTGACACACCTATGCCCATTACCCCAGTTACTGGAATCAATCCATCTCATCAAGGGTCTTCCTCCACTGCATTGCCCCTCCACTCTCCCAAGCACAATATGATTCTCCAAGGATGGGTCCCCTTCTTGCAAAATGCTCAAAGTATGTCAGACAGAGCTTCAAGACCCTTGCCTCCAAGGAGCAACCTGGTTTCACCCTCTTTACGATGAACCTGTCTGGTCTCCAAGCAGTACACGGTATATTCAATACTCTCCTCCTGCACCACAGATCAAAGGTATCAATTCTTCTATCATCCCTAGTCATTGTCCAGCATTCTGATGCATAGCATGTAATTGTGAAGACCACAGCCTGGATCAGGCACATCTTAGTCTCCAGACTGACCTCGTGGCTCTTCAGTATTCTGGAGATATCCCTGACAGCAGACTTTCCCAATATAATTTACCCTTTGATTTCCTGGCTGCTGATACCAAATATGTTGATTGTGGAGCCAAGTAAACTAAAACTGTTAATAATCTCAATTTCTTCACTGTCTATCATGATGCTGCTAGTCCGCCCAATGGTGAGCATCTTTGTTTTCTTGATGTTGAGCTTCAATCCATGCTGAAGGCCACAGTCCTTGACCTTCTGCAGCATGTGCTTCAGGTCCTCATCAGTTTTAGCAAGCAAGATTGTATAATCTGCATAATGCAGGTTATTGATGAGTCTTCCTCCAATCCTGATGCCACATTCCTCCTTATACAGCTCAGTCTCCAGGATGATCTGTTCAACATATAGACTGAAAAGGTATGGAGATAGGATACATCTTTGGCATACACCCTTGTCAATTTAAAACCATACTTTAAAATTTCCTTGCTCTGTTCTGACAACTGTCTCCTGGTCCAAGTACAGGATTTGCATAAGCAAAATCAAGCTAACAACAGTCTGTTGTTATCCACATAGTTAAATGCCTTTGCATAGTCAATGAAACACAGATAAACATTCTGGTGGTGCTCAGATGAGACTTTGAATATTACACTAGAGTGCCGAGAAGCCAAAGCAAAGGGAAGAAATCAAGGAGCTGAACAGAAGATTTCAAAGTTTTCAAAGTACAGCGTTAGAAACAAAGCAAAGAGTTATAAAGAAATGTGCAAAGATCTGGAGTAAAAAAATCAAAAGAGCTGAATTCACTTGGCATTTCTTAAAGTGAAGGAACTGAAGAACAAATTCAAGCCTCGAGTTATAATACTTCAGAATGCTTTGAGCATAATATTAAATGATCCAGGAAGTATTAAAAGAAGATGAAAAGAGTATACAGAGTCATTGTACTAAAAGGAATTGGCAGACACAGAAGAATTTTGTGAAACAATGTATAAGCAAGAGCCTATGGTGATGAATAAAAAGTTCAAGCTGCTCTAAAGGAAGGGGGGGCGGTGAAGGGGTGAAGGCCCCAGGCATTGACAGCATACCAATTAACATATTTCAACAAATAGATGTTGCCCTGAATGCTCCCGTCAAGTTGTGCCAAGAAATCTGGAGAACAACCACTTTCCCAACTGACTGGAAGAGATCTGTATTTGTTCCCATTCCAAAGAAAGGTGAAACAAAAGAGAAATCATAGAACAATATCATTAATATTACATGCAAGCAAGATTCTGCTGAAAATTACTCAAAAATGACTGGAACAGCACACCAACAGAGAACTGCCAGATGTGCTGTCCAGGTTTAGAAGAGGTTGTGGTACATAATGTTAGATGGATCTTGGCTAAAAGCACTTCCTCCATAGGGAAAAAATAAAGATAGGTAACAATGTTGACTCCAGGACCTTGCAATCAAAATGATCTGCTTTTATGCTCTTCCACCAAACTAATTCACGTCATTCTTACTAAATCCACCATGCTTCCTTCTGAGTAGTAAACCACCTAAGAATAGTTTTTTTAATATTTCTTACAAGGATAAAATAATGTGCCTCTTGAGGATGTATTTGCTTTTGTAAACAGGGGCTATTTGGAATCAATTTGGATGATTTAGAGATACTATTAAACTACATAATGTAAACTGGTTTAAAAATTTAAGGTGTACTTAAAACTAATGAGGTGAACTTTAATGTGTTTTTAAACTGGCTCTGAAAGTTCTTTTGATATTTGTATACATGAATTGTGAAACATTTGTCTTTTCAAAAATACCTTTGTTAAAGAATAATTTTACACTTAAAAATGGCATGTGTTTGAGGTGTTTGATTTGGTAGGTTTGACACAGGTATCCACCCCTGAAATCATCACCACCATAGGTAGTGAATACATGCATTAACCAGATGGCTCCTGGTGCTCTTTTGAATAATGTCTCCCACTTGTCTTTCCATGTCTCTCTCAATCTCAGGCAATCACTGATCTGCTTTCTGTCTCTAGAGATTAGTTTCCAGCACATTTGTTATCTTGTATCAATAATCTGTGTTATGCAGATGATACAAATGAGTGTGCTAAAACTGAGGAGGACTTGAAGCACTTGCTGCAGAGGGTCAAGGACTACAGCCTTCAATATGGCTTGAAGCTCAATATCAAGAAAACAAAGATTCTCACCACTGGTCCGATTGGCAGTATCATGACGGATGGAGAAGAGACTGAGATTATAAACAGCTTTAGCTTGCTTTGCTCCACAATCAACACTCTTGGTACCAGCAGCCAGGAAATTAAAAGATGTATTACGCTGAGAAAGTCTGTCAGAGACCTCTCCAAAATACTGAAGAACAAAGATGTCAGTCTGGAAAGTAAGGTGCACCTGATCCAGGCCATGGTCTTTGCGATCATTTGCCATGTGTCAGAGAGCTCTACAATGACTAGGTAGGATAGAAGGAGAATTGATGTCTTTGAGCTGTGGTGTTGGAGAAGAGCACTGAATATACCATGGACTGCTAAGAGAACGAACAAGTTCATCCTAGAGAGGGTAAGATCAGGCTGCTCTTTGGAGGCAGGGATTCTGAAGCTTTATCTGACATACTTTGGACATGCTGCAAAGAGGGACCAGTCCTTGGAGAGGGATATCATGCTTGGAAGCTGGAGGGACAGCGCAGGAGAGGAAGAGCCTGGATGAGATGGATTGATTCAGTGACTGGAGTAATGGGCATGGGTGTGTCAGAGAAAGTAAGATTGGCACAGGCTAAAGCAGGGTTTAGGGCTGTTGTACATAGGGTTGCAATGAGTCACAGGTGACTGGATCACACTTAACAACAACATTCAACCTTTTGTTCACATTCTCAGTATTAAATAGTGATACACGTAATCAATTGTGTAAGAGTATCTAACAGGTGTGCATACCTTCAACTTCCAAGATTTATAATTGTGTAGTCCTGGGCCCAGGACTAATCCCCTCCTGTTTCTAATTCATCTGCTTATCCACAGACTCTTCTGCTTTGTCTTCTTGTGGCTCCTTGTCTCCAATTCTAAAATTAGTAATTCCTACACACAATGACCAATGTGTGCACAGGAGAATATTCTATAGGATTTTAATAGCTGTAACCTTTAAATATGATGGGTGGAAGGAGGGATGGGTTAAGGAAATGGGAAAGTTCCAGTGTGAAAAACAATTTGTGTGAACTTTGTAAGTAAACCAGTATAAAAGAATTGTTTGATTTTAGATTTTGTTGTTTGTTTTTTGTTTTTTTTTTTACAAAAATGTAGATCTTCACTGGGAGGTTTGAACTGTCAAAGTTTGGAAAGAATATTCAAATAAGGTTCCCTGTTTTCGGGAGGGGGAGTGTTTTTGTTTAGTTTGGGAGATTTTTTTTGGTTTTGTTTTGCGCATCTTTTTCGAGACTTATTCAAATCAGAAGCTCAGTGGCCCTGTCCTATCCTATGCCATCCCCATAATATCTGACCGACCTGAGCCCACTACTGCAGTCACTGTGTCAATCCACCTGGTTAAGGGTCTCCCTCTCCTTTTGCCATGCCTCCACCTATCCAACCATGACGTACCTCTCCAAGGAATAACATCTCCTAGCAACATGCCCAAAGTATGTGAATTTAGGCTTTATCATCTTTGCCTCCAAGGAACACCCTGCATTCTCTCCAAGACAAACTTGTTTGTTCTTTTCAGAGTCTATTCAGTACTATTCTTTAACACCACAGTTTTAAAGCATCAATTCTTCTTGTCATTCTTATTCACTGTACAACTCTCAACACAATAGGAAGTGATTGAAAAGACCATGATCTGAAACAGACACATCTTAGTCCCCAAACTAACATCATTGCTCCTCAGTAATTTGGGGAGGTCTCTGACTGTAGACTTTTCCCAATGTAATATGTCTCCTGACCTTCTGACTGCTGGTAAGTGCACTGTGGATCTAAATAAGATAAAGTCATTAATACTTTCAATCATTTCTCTATCATGCTGTTGCCTATTGGTCCAGTGGTGAGAATTTTCGTTTTCTTGGTGTTGAGATGCAACCCCTACTGAAGGCTGTGGGGTTACATCTTTTGCATAACAAAGGTCTTTGATGGATCTTTGTCCAATCCTGATTCCACATTCTTCTTCATAGATAGAATCCACCTTCTCAGAATACAAGTTGAATAGGTATGAGATCTTTCTCCACAACCTTGAGGCACACCTTCCTTAATTTGAAACCATGTAGTGTTCCCTTCCTCTGTTTGCACAACATCTTCTTGGCCTAGATATAGGTTTTGCATGAGCACAATTAAATGTTCTGGGATTCTCACGATCTAATTTTGTACGTAAAATGATTTATTCATTATAAATGCCTTTTTAAAAAAAAAAAAACATTTAAATGGCAACTTTACCCATGGGCCTCACCAGATGGACTGTATAGGAATCAGACTGACTACATCTGTGAAAGAAATCACTGGAAAGGCTCAATATCCGCAGTCAAAACCACACCAGGTGTTGACTATGAAAAAGACCATCAATTACTCATGAACAAATTCAAACTGAGGCTGAGGAAAATAAAACAAGTCCCTGAGAGCCAAACTATGATCTTCAGTCTCTTTCACCTGGATTTAAAAATCATCTTTAGGTCTGAAGCATTGAACACCAATGATCAAAGAGTGAGTTGTGGAATGGCATCCAGGGTATCCATGAAGAGAGCAAAAGATCACTACAGGGACGGAGGAGAACTAAAACAAAACAAAGTGGATGTCATCTGAAACCACGAAAATTGCGCTAGAGCATCAAGAAACCAAAACAAAGGGAAGAGATGTTGACTTAAAAGAGCTGCATAGAAAATTTCAAAGGGCATTGAGAAGACAAAGCAAACTATAATAATAGTATGGAATGTGCAGACACCTAGAATTGGGAAATAAAAAGTGAAGAGCTCACTTAGCATGTCTTATTTTGAAAGAACTGAAAAACAGATTTAAGCTTCAAGTTGCAATACTTAGAGATGCTATGGGCAAAATCTTGAATGACACATGAAACATCAAAATAAGATGGAAGGAATACACAGAAATATTATACCAAAAAGAATTGGCGAACACTGAAATATTTCAGGAAGTACTATATGATCAAGAGCCAGTGGTAAAGAAGGAAGATGTTCAATCTGTACTGAATACAATAAACAAGGACCCAGAAATTAACAGGAT